AGGACCCTCTAGTGAGACCCAAACTACTAGATGCTCTTCCATGTTTTAGGAAGTGGTGTAATGGATATTTGTGCCCAGCCTGTGAACGTCCATGCACCTCAGACCATCTTTAGTTACTAACGACACCTGCTGCATAGTCACTGCTGTGTGTGTGGTGGTTACTCAGTACTATTTAAAAAGTGAAGACGAGCTGGGCGGTGTGGGCACGCAATTTTTATCCCAACACCTGGGAGACAGAGGCAGGTGGATCTCTGTGAATTCAAGGCCAACCTGGTCTAGAGAGTGAATACCAGGACAGCCAGGGATACACAGAGAAACCCTGTCTCAATAAAAAATAAGCAAGCAAACAAACAAAATAAGTGAAAACAAGGAAAACGTCCCCAAATATTCAGAACAGGCAAATATTCATTGCAGACAGACCTGACTATACAGTGCTGTATATTATAAGAATGTGGGTTTAAAACTTTTGTTCTTTATTGGGTTGAACTCTAGGATGTTAGAGTCTATCTTATCCTACCTGTTGGATCCTGATGCCTTGTTCCCAACTGTTTCTTTTCTCTATTATTCTGTTCAGTTACCATTATCAGCCCTCTACTTATCCTTCTGAAATGACTCTGAAATGTAGCCCCCTTCCTCGGGGTGGATTCAGGTTCCCTTCCTGTCCTCTTCTGTGCTGAGTTTGAACCCTTAGTTTTAACAAAGAGTCTCCTTTTGATTCCCTTCCAACTCCCTGAGCCTTTGGCCTGAACCTTGCTAGAGTTCTCCAGGTTTCTGACCTTTTCCCATCAACCCCCACTCTGTAATTGTTTTTCTGGGGAATCTTTTACGGGGCCTTTTCTACACTGACTGCTGATAACTCACAGATTTATGAGTCCTGACCCACTTTCTGATTTCCCTCTGCAAAGACCCAGCTGTCTTTTTAATCATACAATCAATTTTGCTTTTTCTTTTTAGTTTTTCTAATCTCTTCTGTTTTTTTTCTTGGCTTATCTGATTTAATTAACACAGGTAAGCAAACCAGAAGTTTCAGAGTTATTCTCACCCTCTCATACACTCGCCAGTTCCTACCAACAGTTGTTACTGATGGTCCTTAAACTTGATGCTTCTGTACCTTGTGGCCTCCCACGGTAGTAGCTTCAGGGAATCCCTCTACCAAATTCTACCTAAAATCGCTGCCAGGGTGACCACAAAAAGCACTAAATCAAAAAATGCTAAAAGTGAGGGAAAAAAATGAATTGAACCAGTCTTTTATTTAAAACCTGTCTGGCAAGACTGAGGAGAAGCAAGATTCAGAAAACCTTGCCTGTACCTGGATTTAGGGTGTTTCCCCTTCCATGTGTCTGGGTCACCCAACACCTGTGACTTGACTCTGGTTGTTTGGGAACTCTCTCTGTAAACTAAGCTGGCCTCAAACTCAGAGAACCTTCTGAGCTGAGATTAAAGGTGTGTGCCACCACTAGGCTTAGATACCAATGGTTTTAAAGCTTGCCTGAAACCTTAGTCAGTGAAATCATTCTATTTTGTTACTAAATTGTTTTGATCTGCCTAGCACTTAGAATAGAGACTATATTGTATGTATAATGTATATCTATATTGTATTTTGGAACACGCATTGCAGTCTGTGTGTCCCATACAATGGAAATACTGGTTTCCTGAGTTGTGCTTCATGGTTGTTGAAACATTCCATTGTTCAGTGTGCCACTGGGTCTTTGTCAGCTCAGCACAAACCTAGACATATCTGGGAGGAAACCTCAACTGATAAACTACAGTGTAAGAGGCAGAAAGGGTGGAGGACACCAGGGAAACAAGGTTGTCTAATCCACGTGAACAAAGATCATACGAACCACAGAGATGGGCGCATAAAGCACAGGGTCTGCCCTGGGTCCTTTGCAAATATATTATGGCTTCCAGCTTTGTATTTTTATGTGATTCCCAAGTGTGAGAATGAATGAGTCTTTGTTTCTTGTGGCTTCTTTTGGGCTCTTTTCTTCCTGTTTGTACATTTTGTCTAATTCCAAGTGTGAATATTTGTTTTATCTTATTTTATTATTATCACCTAGAAGTCTGTTTGTTTTCTAATGAGAGACAAAAAAGGAGTGGATCTGGATGGCAAGCGAGGTGGGGAGGAGCATGGAGGAGTAGAGGGAGGGGAACCAATCATCAGGATATATTAAGTGAGAGAAAAATCTATTTTCAATGAAAGGAAAAGTATTTAAAAAATAGAAGTAGAAAAAGGAAGGCAGGAAAGAAGGGAGGGAGGGAGAGAGGAAGGAAGGAAGGAAGGCAGGCAGGCAGGCAGGCAGGCAGTCCTAGGTTGAAGCCTTGGTACAAAAGGGATTTTTACAAGAGAATATTTACAACAGAATAAGGAAAACGTTGTTACAGTCAGATCCATGGAAAATGCGCTGTTCAGCACTGCCAGCTCTCAAGTAAACAAATCCAGATTTAGACTATTAAAAAAATTTCATAAGATTTGTCTGTAAATAAATTTGTGGATTTTGATTGCTGATCAATATGAGAGGGCCTAGCTCTGGACAGTGTCCCTCCAGGACAGGTGTTTCTGGGTGTTATGAGAGAGCCCAGTGTGTAAACCATGAGGAAGCCAGTAAACAGTGTTCTTCCGTGGCCTCTGCCCCCTCCAACCTGCTGTCTCGAGTTCCTGCTCTGCTTTCCTTCAGTGGTAGGGTGGTATCTGAAAGCTATAAGGTGACATAAACCCTTTCCTCTCCAGGTTGATTTTGGTCACGGTGTTTTATCAGAGCAATATAAACTCTATGACACATGCACGGACAAGGCAGGCTTGAGTCCCCAGCCATCTCGCCAGGGAAGCCTGTGGCTGTTGGGAAACTGCTGGGTTCGCAGGGCAGAGGCAAGGTTTTTTAGCATCCTCAGTTTTGAACATGTTTTGGCAACAAACGTAGCCACTTGTTTCGTTGGTGATGGCTTGTTCCATTGACTCATTTTTAAGGGACTATCTGCCAAATACTCAATGTTAATAATTACATTTTATTACGGTTTTGTCTGTCAGTCATTCTTTCAAATAAAAACAATGCTGTTCTGCGATGGAGACCCCTAGCTTTACTCAGAAGCATGCTCACTATATAGCCACCTATCCTTGAAACGGCCATTAGTTGTTTTGGTCTCCGGAAATGCTTTATGTGGACTTCCCATTTTAACACACCGACTGTTGAACCAGTGGGTTTGAGAAGTGAAACCTAACAGAAATCCTACCTTTAAGTCTTCGTCCAGCACATGTCTCCAAACTGAGGCTGTGGGAGCCTTTAATCTCCTCAGCTTCTCCATTTCACCCCATTTCTCAGGTGTCGACTTCTCTAAGAGGTCACGGATACAGAAAGCTATGTGTAATTTTCCTTACTGCCCTGCTTCCAGGACCTTGATTCTCTGTGGTCTGAATACCTTGGTGGACTTGGAGGGTAACTCTCCACTGCCACCAACACCCCACCCCTCACCCCCAGGTGATGCAGCCGTAAGCCCCACTGAGTTCAGCTGTTTAGAGTCTACTTTCTACTTAGCGGCCCAATCCCCTGTTCTATTTAAAGATTATGCAAGTATCTCAAAGTAAAACACGAAGATATTAATATTAGGCACACCTTGGCAAGCTTTTTTTCTTTCCACATCTCTCTTGGCCATCTCTCTAACGTCTGTAGTGAAGTAGATTGCTCAAAAGCTACATTTTGATAATTATTTGAAAGAGGGAGACCGAGCCTGTCACAGTCAGAAAAGAAAGACATACACGTGTGTGTGTGTGTGTGTGTGTGTGTGTGTGTGTGTGTGAACATGTTGTATTAGCAGACCAGCACAGGTGAAATTACTGTTCACAAGATTATGACTGGTTTAGACAGCAGACCCTTAGCCATCATTTCCTGTTGCAATTGCTGAGAGTGGAGACGTGGATCTCAGTCTCCCACGCATCACTAAACGGTGGCTGCTTTCTCTCCTCTCCAGGATTTTGTGTCCTGTATCGAGAATTACAGAAGAAAAGGACAGGAGCTGTATGCATCTCTGTACAGAGACTATGTGCAGGTAAGAAATGAAGCATGCCTTTCACTACAGAGTATACTCAGAGCTACCTTGAATCAAGAGGAAGAAAGGGAAAGAGAAAGAGGAGAGAGAACCAGGGGGCCTTTGAAGTTTTAGAATGGAAAAGTAGCCAATGATGGGTCCAGGTTTCTTGGCTTGCCCAGTGGGCATGGCACCCACAGCTCAGCAGCAGAGTGCCTGGTCCTGTTGCTATTCACCTTTCGGGTCACGCATCATGCAGAAGGTGGACATTGAGAGCTTAGGGTGCCTCAGACCCTGCTGGGAGCTGCAAGTGCTATAATAAAACACTGAACTGGGTCTCATGTTCAGATGGCTTTACTATAAGGGGGAGAGTCGAATTAAACAACTTTACAAACTCAGTAGCTATCTGTGACTTATAGTGGGGATTTAGCAAGGAGATAAAAGATGCTAGCTAAGGGAGGAATCTCATTTGGGCCACTCGAATGCCTTGTCTGATGAAGGGAGCATTTAAGCTGAGATCTGCAGAGGATGGCATGGACTGAAATATTTTAGGGGATCCTGAGTGAGGAGGGAGCTGGATATCACTGATTTACTGGAAGAAGTGGTTGGAAGGGCCTAGGAGTCACAGAGTGCAGATGAAGCTGGGACCAAAACACAGACGATTCCTGGCACATTAAGGTTTTGCTTTTAAATGTAGAGAGCTGCCAGCAATTAAGGGCGAATTTTGACATCTAAAGCACCCACACAGGTGTGATTTCTACATAGTCTAGGCAAAGCACTTTTCCCTGCCATAAATATTTTCTAACCATAAAGATGGAAGGAACAAGGATTATGTCCTTAGCCTATGACTGGTAGACAACAGATATTCCACACAGGACTATGCAATCGCTAAGAAGTTGGGGTTTGATTGATATCAAAAACAGAACCTTTTAAATGGACACTCATTCTCCAACATGGCACTCAGTATCGAAACTCACCAATCTCTCCTTTACAGAGGAATGTGTCTGGGCCAAAGCCTGTGCTCTGTATTGAAAACACAGCATCTAAAAAGCCACCGCTCTGCCTTGAAGGCGTTTCGAGCTTAGTGCGAGGCCAAAGGTGAAGGAGAATCTCCAGGACAGGGTGACTAGGCTCACAGTGGAATGTTCCACTGTGAGGGCACAATGGGCGAAAGAAAGCATTAGCACATATCGTGCAGGCATTGGAGTGAAGACGCCCAAAGGCTGACACAGGAAGCCTTGGTGCTGGGCGTCGGAAGAGCCCTGACCTCCTTGCCTAGGTCGTGGGCTTGGGTTTCCTAAGCTGTGTAGCCTACGCCGAGCTACACAGTCTGCCAGCGCAGCTTACCCGGACGTCAGACCCTGCAGGTGTGAGAGACAAGGTTCGAAGTGGGCTCGTGGCAGCTGTCACAGGGATCAGCCAGAATGTCCAGTATGAAGGCTTGGACTAAGATTTTGCCATGAGCACTGTAGACCACATCACACAGCTGGGGGGTGCTTGGCGGACATATTTGCGTACTGCCTGTGGCCGTGGACCAGACCCTTGGACGTTAGTTTCGGAGGACATTCATCCTCCGAAAGGACTCACTGATTTTGTCCGGAGTGAGCAATGTTGCTAACACAGTCAGTTGTCACCAAAAGGGAAGAGAGATGAGTTTATGTTGCATTCTCTTTTAGGGAGATCCACTTCACACTTAGGCCATTTTGCTGCAGAGGGTATATACAATCAGCATCTCACCAAGAGCCTTCTATTTTTGTTGTGAAAACCTGGTCCACGAATTTCTGCCAAGGAGAGAGCTGCAGTCTGGGCTTTCTAAGTTCCTGCTGACTCTGCAAAGTCAAAGTCCTATTGGTAGGACTAGGACTCAACAGAGGAGCCAGCCAAGAAGGGAGGCACCAGTCTTCTGAAATGCCAGCTTGGCTTGGTTTCATAAGTGGGACCTGACTAGGGGTTCAGAAGTACTTGAAAAATTTGTGTGATTTACTGTTGGTTAATTTTTTTTTCTTAGAAAAATCAGCATTTTTGAAGGTATTTCACATTTCCAAGTCTTTAAATATTTAAAATGTTTCAATATCTAGAGGAATGCAGATGTGATCATGTCTGCTGGAGATAATGGGGCTGGAGCACTCACCCCACTTTTCTGAGGGCTAGCCCACTTCCTCAATACACATCACATCCACAGAAGTCAAGCTCAAAGTCTAATCTGCTTTGAGACAGAGTTTTGCTATGTAGCCCTGCCTGGCCTGGGACGGCCTATATAGGTCACAGTAGACCACGTTAATCTCACAGAGATCCTCCGATCTGTACTTCCACAGTGTTGGGATTAAAAGCAGGAGCCATTGCTCTGGGGACAAGCTCAAACACTGACAGAAGTTGGTATTTTGAAATCTGATGGTTACTCTGGGTCAGTTTCCACTAACTCCATGGTTCTCAACCTATGGGTTTCAACCTCCTTGGTTCACATATTAGGTGTCCTGCATATCAGATACTTACATTACAATTCATAACAGTAGCAAAATTACAGTTATGAAGTAGCATTAGGATGGTTGAGAATCACTGTGCTAAGTGAACCCAAGGAGACCCTCTCCCATGGAAGTGGCAGTGAAGCCAGCAGCCGCACCGCTGAGCTGCCAATAACAAGCCACTGAAGAAGTTCTCAACTTTCACTTTACCTGCCACTCAGAGGTTCACAGAGATGGAGGGAGCCCAGAGCATCCCTGGTTCTTCCACCCAGTGCCCTGGAGGTCCTCCCAATGTTGTCACATCCGACAGACGCTTCCCTGAATGTCTCTGCCGACAGCAGCTCTGCCGGCATGGCTCCGTTCTAACTTGCTCACTTGTTCCTCTGCTTTGTCCAAGCTCGGCCTATTGTCTTCTCTGCAGATGTCACTCTGGTTTCTGTTCTGTGCCTGGCCATGCTGTTCCCACGCCAGGGCCTTGCCATGATGCACAGATGTGCCTCAGCCTGCCTTTGCTGTCTAAAACTCTTGACAAGATGCCTGTCACCCCAGATGCTCTTGCTTTTCATATGTGAGCCATGTGGTCTCCTTCGGGCTCCTTCAGGACCAATGGGCTGATTCAGTCCACTCTCAGTCTATGTTTTTAAGTCTTTGCACAGCTTTGTCAGGAGCAGGGGTCGGGGCATCAACTCTAACTGGCTTATGCAACTGGTAAAATGATGAAAAAAAAAACAAGAGAGAGGTGGACTTCATGCAGAACTAGATCCAGATGGCCAGTATCTCTGTTCTCCTTTCTCCCCCTCCACCATCCCTCTTTTCCTGTCCCTCCTCTCTTGAATCTCTCTTTATCCTCTTTCTCTTCCTCCCTCCCTCCATCTCTTTCTTTCCTTCCTTCCTTCCTTCCTTCCTTCCTTCCTTCCTTCCTTCCTTCCTTCTTTCTTTCTTTCTTTCTTTCTTTCTTTCTTTCTTTCTGTCTCTCATTCATTATTTCTCTTTCACACATTCGCACAAACACCCACGTGTGAAATTGCTGGTGAGTTTGAAGCCCAAGAGCACATGGGTAAATGAACAAGCTTGGGGTGAACTCACTCTGCGCACTGAGCCTCATCCTGAAACAGGACCATTTTCCAGTTCGTTCAATTCCAAGTCACATGTCTGCAGGGCTGTCACTGGCCAGGGGAAAGTGTCCCACGGAGGTGGAAGGGCCAAACCTGCTTCCTCTGCCTGGGTGGACTTCAGACCTAATGCATGTGCACACTCCCTTTCTATTTATGTTTTAAAACATCTGTTGCTTCCATTACTATATTTACCTGTTCATTTTCTGAAAAATTAATATTTAGGACAAATGCCATCAAATATTTGAATAACTATAAAAGTTCATATGACATTAACCCTGTTGTTCAAACTAGATTCAAGTGTTTCTTTGATAGGTGTGGCCATGAAAAAAAATCCCACGTCCTCAGCTCCTGCCGCCACCTGTACAATCCCAGCAACAGGCTAGTGGCTTGGGAAGCCAAAGGCAGAAGTTTTCTCCTTCCCCACCGGATTCTGAATGGTCTCGAAGCTGAGAAATCATTTCCTTCTTCCTGACCTGATCTTGGCTCCAGAGAGGATGTTTTATAATCCTGAGGGCTACCTAGAGGTCCATTTTTTTCCAATAACCACCGTAGGAGCTTTGGGGCAGGCCCGCAAGGGGAATGTATCTAAGTGTGGTGTTATATCTCTGCTTCCCAGAGACGGAAAAGTGACAGCATCAAAGCAGCCATGGCCTGGGCCAGGATTCAGGAACAGCTCTTTGGGGAGCTGGGATTGTGGGGCCAAATGACAAAATCCACACCCTGCTCCCAGTGGGAACTGGACAGGAGGGAAGGACCAGCTCGAATGAGGAAACGCATCAGACGTTTGTTTTCCTGGGAGGTCCTGAACCAAGGAGAGTGCACGGTAGGTACTGGGAATGGTGGGAAGTATGCGGGAAGTGGCTGTGTGGCCTTCCTGTCTTGTTCTTTGTTATTTTGTTTTGTTTTGTTAACCATGATGACAGAATGTACCTAGATAAGTTCAAAAGAGTCCTTAAAGCCATTTAGGAGGGGAAAGAGGAGCACTAACCTCCCCTGAGCCTGAATGAGTGGGGGGTGAATGTATGAATTGGTCATTCTCGTTAAGCCTTAATCCATTACCGCAATGCAACCCACAGAAGTCCAAGGGAATTCTGCTCGGCAATGGCCACTGTTTGCTCACATGAATCTTTTCTCATTGAACACTTGGTATCTGCCCTTGTGGGAAATAGTTATTACACACACACACACACACACACACACACACACACACACACACATCCTGTTATAAGCTTTACAGTGCAAAAATCTCTCAAACACAGCGGTTCTGCAAGCTCAATCCAGTGACCCACTTAGTCCACACAGCACCCAGGCTGAATTGGCTTCGCAGCGGAGGAATCAGGCGGTGCTTGGGAGTTGACTTTCCTGAAGGTCATATAGCTAGGCCATCAGATACACATTTCGCATTTTAAAAAAGGGGAATCATTTGGCTTTATTTTACAGTGGATTATAAAAAAGTAGCAACGGTTCTTCGTATCCTTGTCCCCAAATCTGGGATGCTGGGTATTTTCCCTCTCTCCCATTTCAAGATGTGGAGCTAGTTTGGTTCTGAAGTCTGTTAATCCAGCATCTTTTCCCATCCTAAGCCCCCCTCCAGAACACTTATGAGTAAATTATTTTATAAATATAGGATAATTTATTCAGTAGACCCTGTAATTTTAGTTGTGACTAAATGGCTAGAGACAGGTAGCATTTTTTCCCTCAGAACGTTTGTTTAGGATGTGGAGGCAGGAGAAAAGGTGTCTCGTTGGCTCTGCAGGTGACAGTGCTCTGTAACCTGGTCACAGGTCCCTGTGCAGGGTGACCTACATGCAGACATCGGCATGCTGTGGAATCTCCCATGACACCTCGTGGAAACTACTGGAAATGCTACTTAACTGTAGTCTCTGCTCTGACTGACAATGAGCGCAGGCATTTTATGTGATCCCTTAAGATTTAGTACATTCTAGACTAACATGAAGAAAACACAAGTTCACGCCTATCTGTAGCTTTGTGGAAAGGGAGAGGGGGCACAAATAATGTCTGTGGGTTTATTTTCTCTTCTCTCTGGTCCTATTTCAGGAGAGCCAAGACAGAAAAGATGCTCTTTCTCAGACAAATGCTGAAAACCAAGGTATCATGTTTATGGATTTATCTTTTTCTCTTCAATTGTTAAATAATTTTTTCTTCAATAATCAAAACCTATTGCTTATTTCCTTTAACACCTCACTAAAGCTATTACTACATTGTGGGTTGGGGGGAGAGAAAATACTGAGAAACCAGAGCACTTTGCACACAGCTCTTCAGTACTGTGTGTCGGAACAAAGGGGACTTATTCCAGACCCAGACCTCTGGGAGTGAGAGAGTTTTTAGTAAGCTTAAAATAATAACTATGAGTACCTCATCAATTTGTTTTATTGGATAGACTTTAAAACATCCTAACGTGATTTAAATACATGCGTAGTATGTGGTCAAAACATGTAGAAGGACAATAAGACGTCTTAGGAGAAAATAGATGGTATAGATGTTTAATACTTTCACATTGAATTCTTCTGTCACTATATACCT